TAGGCTTTGGAAAAGAGTTTCTCTTGACATAATAGTATAAACGTCAAATTGTTATTAGATCAACAAAGCAAGTCTAGCCTTAGCAAAATTTAATTTCCTGCAATTTCTCATGGTTTCTTTAGTAAATATTTTTTCCGTAGATCCTTCGGCTAATAGTTTGGGACACCCTGTACATAAATATTTCTTCATTTTCTTTTCTGTACAAACGAGTTTTACGGGAGTAGCGAAAGAGACAGATTAACAAATTTTTAAAATACTGTGGTGATAGACGAATATTTTTTAGATTTTGAGTTTGGTATGTAAAAAAGAGGACTGTCCTCTGGAATGGAAGACGATTGGCAACCCTACATTAAACCCACACTCTATCTTTGACTGATGCACTCAGGGAAGATAAAGAGACCAATTTTTTCTTTTCCACACCTTCGCAATAATTAAATTTTTAACGATCGACTCGCACAGAGAGAGGCAGCGAATTTCGCTTTGAGACTTTCATCCCGCCAAGCGCCGGCACCGTCGGCAATCAAAACAGGACAGGGAGGCATAGCAAAGCGGCAATTGATTTTTATCGCAAGGCTGCCAGCTCCCCCCTGCTTCCATCTCTTTCTATCACTCCCCTTCTGTCCTTGTCTGTTGGCTGGCTGGCTCGCTGGAGAGCAGCGATCCCCTTCCCCTCGTAACGTCGTATAATTAGGTCTTGGCTAGAAACGGAGGAGCCTCCAGTTTTTCTTTTCTTCGTCTGTGTTTCTTTCCTGGAGCGGATGGGAGTTTTCCGGGATCAATTTTTTGAGGTTTGGACGATTTGAGGTTATAGATGACCAGAGTTCCGGTAATTATGCCGGACAGTTCGCTATTATATAGATGCAGACTGCTAGTAGAAAACAAAATTATTGAGCAAGTATAACAGTTTAGATACCTAGGAATAGATATGTCGTACTACCATGATCCATAGAAGGATCTGAGAAGTCAAATAAATAAAGCAACGGCAATTTCAGGATGTCTGAGGCAAATGGTGTGGGCAAACCCCTCTAATGGGAAGAGACAGCAAAATTAAGATTCCTAAGTCCTGCATCAGACCAATAATGACATATGGCATAGAAATCCGAAAGGAAACAAAAATAACCAAAAGCACGTTAAGAGTCGCTGAAATGAAGAACCTAAAAACCATAATAGGGAAAACTAGAAGAGGCAGAATTAGAAACACAAATATCATACAACAATGTGGAATACAGGACGTAGTGATATGGGGTAGGCAAAGAAAAAGACAATGGTTTGCACACGTAAAACGCATGGAATAAAACAGGTTACCACGCCTAGCTCTTGAAGGGAACCCCATGGGTAAAAAACAGCCGGGAAGGCCTCCAAAAAGATGGAAAGACAGTTTGCATCTCCCAAGAACTCCTACAGAGGCAACCTTAAAACTAACAGATCGACTAGTTCTCAAATAAGTAGTAGAAGAAGAAGAAGAAGTTCGCTATTCAGAAGATTTTGAGGATATTTTGGACCATGTGGAAGAAGAAAATCGTCTTCGAGTTCCAAAAAGATATATACGGGATGCAGGAAATCCAATAGAAATACTCTCCAGTAGCTGGCATCACTGGCACGACAGTAGCTGGCATCACTGGCTCTCCAGTAGCTAACATCACTGGCACGGCAGCTCTCCAGTAACTGGCACGACAGTAGCTGGCAGCCCTGGCACGACAGCTCTCTAGTAGCTGGCATCACTGGCACGAAAGCTCTCCAGTAGCTGGCATAACTGGCACGACAGTAGCTGGCGTCCCTGGCACGACAGGTTTCCAGTAGCTGGCATCACTGGCACGACAGCTCTCCAGTAACTGGCATTACTGGCACGACAGCAGCTGGCATCACTGGTACGACAGTAGCTGGCATCACTGGCAAGACTTTATCGAATTTTTATTGATGCATTCATTGATCTATTTTTTTACGAAAAACATCGAGAAAATATCGTTTCCCCTCTTACGGATACCCCGTATCTACAGAACGGACAGACGTACTGTACCAAATACCATGTGAATGCGATAAATTTAACATTGGTCTTTTTTTTAACATCTAGACCTTTAAATGTTTGAATTAAAGAACATAAAGATTATTTAAGAAAGGGAGATTTTCATAAATCTAAGATTTGTCAGCATTCATGCTACAAAAAAAAATAATAACGCCAAAATTATAATAAAAGAGGCTTTTTTAATACAATCTAATAAAAATAAATGTATTGCTCATGCATCTGTAGATGTTAGTAATGTATGGCAATCGCTTCTTTGATTTTAAAGAACATAACATAAATAAACATAACATAAACATTTCTGTCTATATTCTGTCTATTTTTTTTGTATATAATAATCTGCATAAAAGATCAATTACAAATTATTTATCTAAAATTTGTACCAAATTTATAGATATTTTCATCGCGTGTTGTTTACCAGTTTTTTTATTTCATACCAAATGGTTTTTATATTGACATAGAAATTCTTTTTGTCCGTATTTTTACAACATTCGTAGTTTTATCGATTTGATTTAGATTTTTCTCCTGAATATTTTTGAACCGTATACAGGGTGGTCAAATAAAAAATTATTTCAAGTCATTTTGTTTTTGTAATTGATTTATCTATTTTGTTAATTTTAACTATTACTTATTTAGAATTTACTTCTGTAAAATTTTATTCAGTAATGGATTTAGAAAAGTTTAGAGTTAATCATTTGTTGGATTAACTCTTAATATAAACAAATCGAAGATTTAACTCATACTCCAACCTAACAGATCTCCAGTAGCTGGCATCACTGGCACCACAGGTTTCCAGTAGCTGGCATCACTGGCACGTCAGCTCTCTACTGGCACCAGTTACTGGAGAGCTGGCGTGCCAGTGAGACCAGTGGCGCCAACTACCGGATCTCTCCAAAAAAATCCTGTATGGGTATTTCGCCCACTGCAAAAAAATATACAAAATAAAATAGTTAGTGTGCCATGAATGCTGACAAATCTTAGATTTATGAAAATCTCCCTTTCTTAAATAATCTTTTAATAAAGGTTTTTTTAAGAGTCTAAAGTTTTAGAATTTAATAATTCAGAATAAGTCGCAAATTATTAATAATGGGTATATGATATACTTATAAAAGTTGTAGAATTTTTGAACACCCTGTAGCATCTAACTAAAATATCTTTACAGATATCTATTTCTTCATCTTTATAAATTTCACCTACCAAATTTTAGTTGTTCAACTTCAGAAACAATGGCATCACTGACAATTTTTTACCACACTGAAATCTAACATTTGTTGGAACAAATTAAAATATTACAAAAACTATTAATTTTAGGTATATAATATTATAACAAAAAGGTTTTAGAATTTTACGCAGAATTTAAAAATAAGATAAAAAATAGGGTGTTGCTTTAAAAAAACAGATATTATATTTGCCACACTTTTTTGAAGCACCCTGTATACTCTATAATAATTTTAAAATGTGTATCTTAATCTTCCCTATAACTTTTATATTCAATTTTTTTTGTAAACCTCGAAACAAATGAGTTAACTCCATCGTTGACTCACCCTGTACTGAGTGTTGACAAACGTTTTTATTATAGCGTGCATTTTTAAATATCTTTAAATATCTCAAAAACCAAAGCTTTTAAACATATTAAACCCCTATAATAAATGCCTTATTTTATATCCAAGAATTCAAAAATTAAATAAAATATCGGGTATTCCATAAGAAAAAATATAACTTTGGTATGGATTTTAGTTCTGACACACCCTGTACATTTCAAAATAATTTTAAATTTTACACATTGCCTTTCCACATATACTCATAAAATATTTGGTTTCCACATCTTTCCGTTCTCGTATAATCAGCCGAGGCGAATGAAGTGCGCCACCCTGTATATGTATTTAGTCAACAAAATCACGAGGCCCCCGCCGTTGCAGGTGCTGCGGGGCCTACCCTACGCTACTGATGGTATTATATGTATATTGGGGTCACTTGGCAGATACAAAGGAAGTGTTCATATCACAAAAGAAAATCATACTACAAATGGTAGGAATAAGTAGTTCAACATCGTGTAAAAACTATTTTCGATCTCTACAAGTAATTTTCTTGGTCAGTGAGACCAGTGGCGCCAGCTACTGGATCTCTAAAAACGTATACTGTCCAGTCCCACTGTCCTACTGTCCAGTCCCTACTGTCCAGTCCCACTGGACAGTATACATTATAAAAACATTATCCAGTCCCACTGGCACGCCAGCTCTCCACTGGCTACCAACGAGACCTGTGGTGTCAGCTACTGGATCTCTAAAAACGTATCCAGTGCTGGCGCCAGCCCCACTGGCACGCCAGCCCTCCACTGGCTACCAGCGAGACCGGTGGTGCCAGCTACTGGATCTCTATAAACGTATCCAATAGCTAGCGCCAGTCCCACTGGCACGCCAGCTCTCCAGTGAGTACAGTGGCTACCAGTGAGCTACTGGCTACGTTTATAGAAGTTTGATAACTTTTTCTACTAATTGATCATGTTTACCACTAATTTTAACGTTCTGAATGCTTACATTGAAATTAAAGAAACAGGGATAGCAGTTGCGGAAGAAGCAGAGGAAGTTGAGGTAAAAAAGGCATATTTTGCACTACTCTCGCATTAGAAAATACTATGTTTGTTCGAACCGGACGAGAGAACCGTCCTAGAACGGTAATTTCCTAGGTATCTATAATATATCTATATCTAAGTATATATCTATATCTAAGTATCTCCAAGGTATCTATATCTTGACAAACGATCAAACTTTTCAAACAATAAGTGGGCGACTAAAAATTACCATCCCAGGATCGGTTCTCGGTCCGGTTGGAACGAACCTATCGATTGACTTCGGATTATAATCTTTGTTGCAAAAAAAAGTTCGAATGTTTTTGTTACATTTTTTTAATTTCTCTAAATGCTTAAATGCGCCAGCGCTGGACCGGTGGTAATAAAGCGCGTCTATTTTCGTACCAGTACCAGTGGATCTCTAAAAACTACTACTGGATCTAACTCTCGACCGGTGGTTTCTTCTCAACCGCGTTAGACACGTGTAAACTCATTACTGGTGTGTAAACTACTCAGTTACTGGCGTTCCTAATTGTTACAAACTGCTGGCGTCTATATATAGTGTGTAATTTTATTTGTGAGACTATAATTACTGAATTTTCCCTTAAAAAAATTACTGATAAAATGACCCGAAAATTAACCGAAAACGAAACTGTGAAGTTGGTCCAGCTATATAAAGAGCAAGAATGCTTATGGAACACAAGAAATGATAACTATAAAAGTAGAGAAGTCCGTATGTGTGCTTTAAAAAGAATTCAGGAAGGAATGGAAAATTTAGAACTGAGTACTGACGATATCAAAGCGAAAATAAAAAGCATTAGGGGTACGTACTACTTAGAGCTTGACAAAATTGAAAAATCTGCGAGGTCTGGCGGGAACGTTTATGTACCAAAAGTAAAATGGTTTAAAGATTTAAATGGTTTTCTTAAATCTGTGTCAGTAAGACGAAAAATTACGGTGAGTAACATTATATCTATAACCATACGGTATCTCCGTTATTAGTGAAGATATTGGTGAAGATAGAAGGGTGCTATTTGCACAAACCTGTTTCACTTTTTTGCCAAACGGAAGATGCTTTAAACAAAATTTTCGTAGCCCTCTTCGTTTCTCAGCTACAGGGTCTTATTGAAAATTTTGCATTTTTGGACACCCTCCGTTATTCTAAAAGGTATCGAGAAGGTTAAAACCGTTTATTTTAAAAGTTTTTACGTAGAATGCGGTGGTGTAGTCTGTTATTCTAATAAAAAATATTTTTGAAGATATTAACTAAAGTTATGTTTTCTTAAACGGAACACCCTGTATATTTATAAAGTATATGATCTGGCTTGCCATAAGCTTCTCAAAAATATAAGTTTTCATTAAAAGATCATTACAAGTATATTACTGCTATCTGTCTCTTGTTTTATTTTGGGAGCCACTAATAAATTCTTTATACAGGGTGGTGCGAGCTGTATTCCGGAAACTTCCGCAGCATATTCTGCAGATAAAAATAAGTATAAAAGTTCGTATAAATGTATGTCAAAAAATGCTTCGTTTCAGAGATACAGGGTGTAGAAGTTTTTTAGAAGAAGAAGAAGAAGGGAAGAAGAACATTTTTTTGCAAATAATTTGTGAAGTAACGTCAATATTTGGATGAAAATAGGTGGCTGTAGTTTTTTGATATGAGAAATTTGATTTTGATGTCAATATGACTCCTATTTGTAGGCGGCGCCACCTACATATGTTTTAACTGTTTTAAAGAGTAATAACTTTTCGTCCGTACCTGTACAAAACTACCGAGTATAATATATACATTTCTGTGACTTTCTACGTAAAAAATGTTTCTTGGTAAATATCGCTACGAGCAACCGTTTTCAAGATATTTAGAATAGAAATTGTCAATACATGTCATTATTTACGAAAAATAAACACGTTGAGTAAATAGTTATTTGACTGAAATGATAAATTTGGAAACTTTTTATTTTTTTAAATTAATCATAAATTTTTATTCGAAAAAATGATGATAAAACAGTTTCTGTTGAACTTTTGGCACAAAACATTTCAAATTTATGATTTCAGTCTAATAACTATTTAGTCAACATGTTTAATTTATGTCAATGATGACATGTATTGATAATTTCGATTCCAAATATCTCGAGAACTATTACTCGTAGCGATTTTTACCTAGAGACCCTTTTTAAGTAAAAAACGTCGTAAATGTATATTTTTTTACTCAGTAGTTTTATACAGGTACGGACGAAAAGTTATTACTCTTCAAACCAGTTAAAAATTATTTAGGTGGCGTCCTCTACAAGTAGGAGTCATATTGACATCAAATTCAAATTTTTCATGTCAAAAAACTCCCAGACTCCAATTTTCATCCATATATTGACCGTACTTCAGAAATTATTTGAAAAAAATCGAAATAAAAATGAAACTTCTACACCCTGTATCTCCAAAACTAAACATTTTAGGACATACATTTATACGAACTTTTTTACTTATTTTTATCTGCAGAATCGAAGTAAACACTTTTTTATTCACATTCCTTTGGCTAGTTTAGGTGAAATATACTTCCATCAAGATGGGGCTCCCTCTCACAACTTTGAAAATATTAGAATTTTGTTAAATGACTTTTTCCCAAGTGTCCCAGTTAGTCCCAATGAATTGGAACTAATGGACCCATACGATGGCCTACGTGTTGGTGAATTTTTGAAATATGAAATTATCGCGGCAACTAAAAGTGTCGAAGACCTGGAAAATGCTATCAGGCAAACTCAGGCTACTGCTGTATAACGCAAACCCATCCCGTTATAATAAATTCCGTTATAAAAAAAGAAGAAAAAATAATATTCAGAGATTCAGTGGTAACAATTTAAAAGTAAAATATTTCTGTCCCAAATAAAATTTTAATAGGTGTGTTACTATTATAGTAAATTAAATACCATTTTTTTGTTATCTATCACGGCCTACTAATAAGAAAATGATATCTAAAATATTGCAGTAAATAGTGAAAATAAATATAGAGTGATATATATTTTTGAGTAGATCATAGCAAGACGGATCATATGATTTATAAATATACAGGGTGTTCCATTTGAAAAAACATAACTTCAGTTCATATTTTCTAAAATATTTTTTCATAGTAAAACAGACTATGCCACTGTATTTTACGTAAAAAGTTCTAACAGAATCAGTTTCATCATCTCAATATCTTTCAGAATAAGGGAGATACGGATGCTGTGTCTCAAATTGCAATATTTTCGAAAAAACCCTAACCTCCATTTGACACTGATGATACGCTCTCTTTGACATTTAGTATTGTGTAAATAAGTTCCCAGCATGTACAGAGTGTCCTATTTTGGCTGAAATCATAGGGTACCTCCGTTATTAGTGAAGTTAGAAGGTTGCGCAAACCTGTCCCACTTTTTTGTCAAACGGAAGATGCCGTAACCAAAATTTTCATAGAGCTCTTCGTTTTTGAGTTACAGGGTCTTTTTGAAAAATTTCCAATTTGGGACAGCTCCCGTATCTGCGTTATTGTGGTTTCGAATAGGTGAAAACTGAGTCTTGTAGAACTTTTTACGTAGAATACAGTGGCGTAGTCTGTTTTTCTACGGAAAAAAATATTTTTGAAAATATGAACTAAAGTTTTGTTTTTTCAAATGAAACACCCTGTATATTGATAAATCCGTCTTGCTATGAGCTTCTCAAAAATATATATCACTCTATATTTATTTTCGCTTTTTACTTCAATATTTAAAATATATCATTTTTATATTAGTAGGCCGTGATAAATAACATTAAAATCAAAATAGTATTTACTAAAATAGTCATACACACATTAAAATTTTATTTGGGATTGATATATTTTACTTTTGAACTGGTACCACTGAATCTCTGAATATATTTTTTTTTCTATACAGGGTGCTACAAATTCGAGGTACGAGCATTGGTATCTCGGTAACCGTAATAGATACGAACAGGGTTAAATTGGAGTAAAGTTGCGCTTTAAGTATATTCACCAAGATGCCATCAAAAAAGTTTTAAACATTTCAAGGATTGCCGAGTTTTTTGGAAAAAACGGATTTTTTTGAAAATCAATTTTACTTTTTCCTTACGTTACTTTTTAGAAAATCAAAAAACTAATTGCACATTCTCGTAGCCACTTTATTAAAGCTATCTGATGGTATTTTTAGATTTTCAAATTAGCTCATAATTTGTGAGATGCAGAGACCAACTTAATTTTTTTTAAATACGGACCTGCATTTTTTATTTCAGGTTTTGAAAGAATACGGTCTCCTGAGTACTAGGATATGCCACACTTGATACTTTTTTTTGTTTTGGGTACCTTGACAATAACAAAACTATTTAATTGTTATTTAAAATAATTTAAGATCCGGCTCTGGTTTTTTAATTTATTTAATCTGATTATATACATAACAACAATATTGATCAGCGCTAATTAACATTAAATAAGGAAAATCAGTAAAAATTGTTTTGAACATTTGAAATCAATACATTTCAACATTAAAGTACAAAAACAATAATTAACGAGTAATAAAAAACAGTTAAAGAGTACAAAATACATTCGTAAGTATAAGAAGATCTGTTCAAAGAGCTAGAATGAATTTAGAATTTAGAATTCAGAAACTAGTTTGTAGAAGTTGATTTATTTATAATAACTGCCATTAATATTATTCATATTATTAGATCTTACACTGAGATTTCAAATTCACAACAAAAAAAGTTAAAAATAATAGATATCTTAAAACTGCTGACCAATATATTAATTATTTGAATCTTTCAATAGGCATGATTTTCCCAATATTGTTGAACTGAATATAATCAGATTAAATAATTTTAAAAAACAGAGTCGGACTTAAAATTATTTTCAATAATAATTAAATAGTTTTGTTGTTATTAAGGTACCCAAAACAAAAGAAAAGTATAAAGTGTGGCATATCATTGTACTTAGGAGACCGTATTCTTTCAAAACCTGAAATAAAAAATGCAGGTCCGTATTTAAAAAAAATTAAGTTGGCCTCTGTATCTCACAAATTATCAGTTAATTTGAAAATCTAAAAATACCATCGGATAACTCTAATAAAGTGGCTATGAGAATGTGCAATTAGTTTTTTGATATCCTAAAAAGTAACGACAGGAAAAAATAAAATTGATTTTCAAAAAATCCGTTTTTTCCAAAAACTCATCAATCCTTGAAATTTTTAAAACTTTTTTGATGGCATCTTGGTAAACATAGCAAGTAGTAACTTTGCCCCAATTTAACCATCTTCGTATCTATTACGGTTTCCGAGATACCAATGCTCGTACCTCGAATTTGTAGCACCCTGTATAACTGAATTTATTATATAACGGGATGGGTTTGCAAATCTCTAAAAGCTTGCATTATAAAAGCATTTTTCAGGTGTTCGACATTGTTGTAGTTGCCACGATATATTTCATATTTTAAAAATCCCCAAAATCAGAAACCGAGAACTGACAAATCCGGGAATCAGGGAGGTCATCATATGGATCCATTGGTTCCAATTCATCGATTTCAGAAATAATAATTTAACAAAGTTCTAATATTTTTAAAGTTTTTCCAAACCTTATCTTGCTGAAAGTATATTTCACGTAAATTAGCTAAAGGAATATCTAAAAGTTCCGATACGATAACTTCCAAGATTTAGAAATAGCGATAGAGAGTTAAGTTTCCCTAATACTAATATATAAACAAAATATTAGTGGTCCCTAAAATAAAACAAGAGACAGATAGCAGTATACTTTTACTAATTCTTTATTTTCTTTTATTGGCTTACTAATTACTTACTAATAAATATGATCTTTTAATAAAATCTTTTAAATATTGTAGTAAATAGTAAAAATAAATATAGAGTGATATATATTTTTGCGAAGCTTATGGCAAGCCAAATTATATAATTTATAAATATACAGGGTGTTCCATTTAAAAAAAC